AAAAAAATTCTCTGCAAGCAAGTCACAATCTTTGATTGAGGGCTTTTAGAAATAAGTCCTTCCCTTCAGTCTGATTAGTAGTGTTTGTTCTAAGCTCAGAAATAAACTGTGAGGGTTCCTTGGTAGCAGTAATCAAGATTGTTTCAGTTCCTTTTTTAAAATTACTAATAAATGTTTGCCATAATCTATGTAATTGTTTGTTCTAAATATATAAGCGAAACATGAATTTTCTTTAAAAAGACATGAAAGAGGTTTCTTGTTTCACTTTTACAGTATTTGTAACACTTAAAAGCATTGCTTCGCTTATCATATAGGGAAAGTTAAGTGCTGCATGCTCAAACCTACTTGGATTTGTGTGTCCATTTACAGGAAGCAAACTCAGAAATCTCTATGTATTGATACAACTCTTTGTCTCTTACAAAACATGTATGTTTACTTAAATATAAAATAGTCTTTCCATGTTTTTCCTCTGTCCTTTGATTTGTCTACTGGAAACAGTAGATAAACCGTGGGGTCTGTTATTGTTTGTGATCTCTAAAAGTTATATGGACATGGTACCAGTGGCTGGGATAGTAGAAAGTCCTGAGATACCCAGTGCAGGAAATGTGATAGGCTTTTTCTCAGCCTAGTGGTTGGTTGTTTTTTTTTTCCCTAATGGTCTCAGTAGTGGTTGGGGTGGTAGGAGTAAATGAAAAGTAATTACTGTTGTTGTCCTTAACATAAAAATGATTATCTATGAATAAGCAAATCTATTCACAAGGACTTCTTAAAAATTGTTAGTTTGTTACTTGTTCTTACTGAGGAGTCCTCTTTTTTGGGTAGTTGTCAGTGTGTGCATTTGTGGTGAGGGCTGGTCTGCTCTTGCTTTGTACTTGTGTTTAAACTATTAAAATAGTTCACTTAGCGCTGATTTGAGACCATAGACACAAGAGTGCCATTCTGTCTACTCTGTAGATGTAAGAATGCCAAAACTATGTACTATTTGGTTTCTGAATCTTTTACAAAATATGGATAATTTGTAAAGTTTTTGAAAACTAAAAACAAACAAACAACTACAACCAAAAAAAACAAAACCAAAAACCCCAAACTTTGCAAGTTGTCATGTAATCTAAATATCAGACATACTCTTTTCTTGTCCAAATACTTTTAGTGGTTGTTCTAGTCTTTGAACAAGCAATTTAAGAGTTACTTTGGAAAATATGTAAGTTTAACTGGTATGTACTTGTATTCATTTCACTGTTTCTCACTTTCCTTTCCTTCAGGAGTCAGCTTGCTTGATCTTGCGACTAGATATGTATAAGTGTCTTCCAAAATAAAACTGAGTCAGTTTGTTGAAGCTTTTATGTGCAGGTGATTTTGACTGGAAGGGCTTAAACTTAAAAGCCATGAATATCAAAATCAGTTTGTGACACAAATTGACATGATATTCTTGAATGCAGAATTAAACAAAATAACTAAGAAAAGTTAAATAAACCAACAGCTATGACCTTTACAACAAATGCAATAATATTTTGTGGCCATAACATGTACCTCTTTTCTGAATATCTCAAAGAAGTTTATCAACAATTAAAGAAATTCCTAACCTTTTCAGGGAGAATAGCAGAGATTCCCACCCTGGAAGGCATGGGAGCAAGCAAAAAGAGGAGAACTGACTTGTCAGAATGTATACAAAAGTCTTCAGCAGATAATCTAGGGCATTGTTTTTCTCTGAAATTCATGTGTTTCTCAGCTCTGTATGTTACCTCTTGCATGTTTCTTTTTTAAGGGCCTAGTATAATCCCTATTTTAATTAACTTTTATCTCTCAGTATTCTTATGAAGAAGCGGACAGTATATTTTGTGGCTGTTATTGCTATGTTGCTATTTATATCCATTTAAAATTAAATAATACTTAAGAAATTTCCTAAATTTCATCTGTATTTTAAAAAAAAAATTAAATGGGTTATCTGAGGCGACTCTAGGTTTAGCATGTTACAGAAATCATAATATATTCAGAGTTTTTCTTGTAGTTGATGTTTTCTTTCTTAATACAGTGTTGAACAGTAGTTATGCCTTGTGTCATCAAAACAAAGTGTCCAAACTATCCTGTTAAGTGACCATTTCAGGATAGTTCTCCAAATTAACTTCTTTCTCCAAAGCATTGCATTCTTAAAATATACATGCTTTCCTGGGCTGTAATAAACATACCAGGAAAAATACAGTGAATATAACTTGTGTAATAAAGTTACTCCAAGAAATAGTATCATATACTTCATCAAAGGACACTTTGAACTTCGCTTCTGCATTACTTAAAGCTTCTGGCAGAGAACTGAGGTACTTCATATCTTAAAGGAAACTTTCAGCTAAAATAAGAGAATATTCTTATAGTGAGTTTTTCAGATTTAAAAGATAATAGTTGTGGTCATAAAGTATAAAAATAGAAATAATAAATCCAAGTCAAATCTCCAAATAGCCGGTTGAATAGTGTGTTTCACGTAGTGGAGGATTACTGTGGGGCACTGACTGTTCATGTCATGGGAGAGAAGGGATGGGGAGGAGTGATCTGCTTACCGAGTCTCTGGTGCTTTAAGTCATTCGACATTTTTATTGCAGCTCATCTATTGTGTTTTATGATCATCTCTGAGTTTTAAGGTGTTTGTGTAGAACACTGCTAACTTTCTACTCAGCATCAAGCTTACATTCAGATCTTCTTAGCAGAAGCCTGCTGCAGTAGCAGGAAAACCGACCTTTTCCTGTAGTTTAGTCTGGCTGCTTTTTGGTCTGTGACTTACAGTTAACAAAATAATGCCACAGATCTTTGCTCTTTGATCAAAAAATTGAAAGAAAGGAAATTGGTGTAAGCTACACTAGACTGTTTTCAAATATTAATTTTTAGAGATATGTTAGGTGAAAACCACAACATGTCAGAAAAGCCCAGTGCCTGTTGTACTCCGGTTTGGCAGGTTTTTAAGAGAGAGAATGCTTGTGTGTTTGCTGTACTTTAGGAGTGTGTAGGGTTTTGAAAAATATATTGAATTTTATTTAGTCTTAAGCAGAGCAGTTAGTAGTGAGGCCAGGATTTTGTCTTAACTGGATGGATAGCTAGCAAATAGATCTGTAGGATGTATGTTGTTTGTACTGCTAGAAGGATTCATTGGAGGGTAAAGGAATCCAAAAAACTGTGATACGGACTTGAAGCATCATCTCCAGCCAGATATATGGCTTATTTTTTTTTATATAGAAAAATTATACTTCTGCAGGGAGGTACTGAAGCTTAGATGTTTCAGAAGCATCTGGAGGTCTCAAATAATGTATAGTTTTGAGTTTATTGATAAACTTCACATTCCATGGCTGTGTCTTCCCAAGTTGTTTTAGTAAGAAAACTGTCATAATTCAATGAAATGTACTGTTCCTACCTTACAATATTGGTGGACAGAAATACTTTGATAAAGTATTGTCCTAACTGGAGTTTTTTCCTACCTGCCTTTCTACAGACATCTGCCCAATATATACCTGTATGCGTTTTGTTGTCATTTTTGTTTTTAGTTTCTCTGGCAGTGGATTCCCGAAGGCTTGGATGATGAATTGAGACTATGGGCGTTTAAATTGTGAATTATATTAATGTGGGAGCAGTTGAAGACTCAGCATTTACTGCTGACAAGCTGGAAGAATGATCTGAAATAAATTTCTTCAGAACATACAGAAAGTGCTACATTTCTTATATACTTATTTGAATAATTATTTGTAAGATGGGGAGACTCATGAGGCAGTTGGCTTGCAGAATATGATCTGGTGATATATTGCGGATCATAAACAGAAGAGAATGTTTAGCTGATACATAAGGGAAGGCACTAAAATTCTACTAATTTTTTTTAAGTATCCTGTATCAAAACTAAAAGTCTTTAATCTTCTCTGCTCAGTGCTATTGAGGCTCAAGTGGAGCCAGGTGTCCAGTTGTAGCACAGTGAATCAAGGTAGACAAGACCAGTTGGAGAGTGTCCAGACAAGATAAAAATGATTAGCTGTCAAGGAGGCATGAAAAGAGAAATGAGTGAGAATTGACATTCTTTGTTGCAAGCATCTGTCTCAATAAATACTGAAAAAATATTTTGCAGATAATGGAATAATCTCTTTGTGAAGAAGACTAGGAGTAATTAACCTAGGGAGGGAGATATAGACATTAGGGAAAAATACTAATTTTGAGAGTAGTTGAGATCTATAATAGTTTGCATAGGAAGGCCAAGGCATACTCATTGTCAGTGACTTTTAAGAAAAGGTTAGAGAAGTGTCAGAGGTGGTTTTATCTGACCAAGGAATCAATGGATTAATATTCTCAAGGTCCTTTCCAGACATTTTCTTTAAGTATCTTGAAAATAACTGTAATACAAGTGGCTTGTGTAGGAGATAGCACTGAATAGATAGAGTTGTTGGGTTTTATTTTAGATGAATAAAGGCTTTTTTTTTTTTTACTTCAAAGCACCAGATAATGTGTTTGTTGGATAAATCTTGAGAGGAAAAGAATTCTGTGCCTTGATGAGAGCCAGCTACTGCTTACTAAATTCAAATACGAAAATTACACTTCCTAACCCCTTATCTTTTTGGAAGTGTGTGTCTTTATGGGTGCTTCTGCTTTACACAATTATTAAGTTTAGTATTACCTTCAGTGCCTTTCTTCGTCCTGCTTTGGTTTCTCTGATCACTATGGAAAAGTGAAGACGTATTCAGTCATTTAGAACTGCTATAGAAAGACATTAAGCACTTTTGTGGTAGACTGTCATCAAGTCTTTTAAATCAAAATTGCTTTTAAAAAAATGCTGCTTCTGGTTTTATGATTATTAAGTAGTCACTGTTATTTATAATATTATTTATTAGTGTCTGTATCAGAGGACCAAAAACTTTGTTTATGGCAACCTTTTTTTCTTTATTTCTTTTCATGATCAAAGGGGCTTAGCCTGGACTATTTCTTTGGTGTAGTGCTATATGACATTAGCTTTTAATGCTTCATTTTATTTTTTCCCCCAGGTCTCTGTCTTGAGAAGCTGCCAATTTCTTCTTCAGCTAGCAACCTCCATGTGGACCGTGAGCAAGAAATTGTTACATGCTATGAAAAGGCTGGGGATATTGCTCTTCTGTACCTTCAGGAGATAGAAAGGGTAAGTTGGGATGATTTGCCCAACTGAAGAATTACATAGCTCGTCTTTCACTGATGTGTTGTTACCATCACTTGAGTAACTCAACTGAAAGATGTCTGATGTTTGTTTTCTCAGGACTTCAGTGCACACTTAAAATTGGATAGTAAATCAGTGTGCTTTAATGGCTGTCTGGTAGCTGTAATTTTGACTGTTCTCTCATTTTGACCTCTTAGAAAATAGTGCTAGTAGTCTAAAAAGGGACAGAGTTCCTCTGAACTACTATGTATATTCAAGATGCTGATCTGTAGTCTTTTGTTGTCCTATGGTAGTTCATTTATGAACACAGGATTACGGTGCTTTCAAATACATGTTGAGGTATGTACATTACATGTATATACTTACAAGCTTTTCAGATAATTCTTGGAAAGAATTCAATTCAGAATGAAGCTGTGAAGACTGAAGATTGATCTTGTTGGTGTTTATTTGAAGCCAATAACATAACTGCTCTTAAATCCTCTTTATAAAACTGCTTGAAGGTAAAATTCTGAAATAACATTGTACCATTCCTCAAGACACTTGATGTATCGTTGGGGTGTCCAGTATACTAGTTGAAAGTGGGTTTGCTTAAACTAATAGGCACAATCCTGGCACATGACAAAATCGTCAGATCCAATAGCCACATAAACATATGATTTTAAAATATGGTTGAACGTAAGGTAAATCTTAATAGTTCTGTCAGTTGGATTAAGACGATGTTCTCGGCCTTGATAGCCTATTTGTCACTTCATCTCACTAACATATTGTTCACTGTATGTATGAAACTGCAGTTACTCTTAACATCTGAGGTGCTAGATATGTAGGAGAAATGTTTTTTATTCAAGAAAGATAATATATCTGAGCTTCCTGATGTTAGGCAAAATTTAACCTACAAGCAGCTCTGCATAATATTAGGCAAGATACCATTTTCTTCCCGCCCCCCCCAATAAGTTATGGTTTATGAATTATGGAAAGTTAAAATTAGGCTCTTTACTTGTAAAAAGTGTAACCCTTTGTGATTTAAAAGCTTCAGCCTTTATATGAATTTAAATGGATGCATAAGCTCTTTTATTTTCTTCTCTTTATTTTCATTCATACCATTAAGCTTGTCTTCCATTTCTTACCACTTAGCAAAAAACCTTCAAGTGTGTTATAGTTATTTTTTAATGAAAAGGAAATCTGTGGTACCCTTTGTTTCTAGGAGTTACACAATACTTCATTTTATTTAGACTTTGAGGTACATCTGCACAAAACAGAATACACTGAGGCCCTGTTCTTTGGCTTGTGGATACTATAAAAATGAAGTGAGCTAGCCATATCAGTGTGACCCATTTTTTCAGACCTATTGCTTACAAGCCTCAGATCTGTCATTTGACAGTTTCCTTTGACCAGATTACTAAGTGCAGTTAGGGTCATCCAATTGAAAGCAAAAGGAGAGAAAACTTTGATGTGATCAGAGAAAGAAAAGTAATTCACACTGTTTTTTAAATACATACACATTTTTATTTTCTGCAGGCTTTTTGCTTTGGGTTTGTTTGTTTTGTTAAAAAATAATTTTTCTTAATGACACTTCTTGGGGAATAAATTACCTTTATGGGTATAGCTGAGAGCAAAAAGATTTTTATTTAGGTGGGAATGAAGGTAAGGGTAGATATATTCTACTAGCCACCACCTACAAACAAAAAAGATTTCTCCAGTGTTCAGTATTGGCTTCTGTGTAAAAGTCCACAAAACTAGATTGTAATTTTTTTCCTAAATATTTTTTTTTTCCTTTTTCTTTTGTTCTCTTAGGTAATTAATGCCAATATACAAAACAGAAGCCCTAAGCCAGGGCCCACTGCACATGAGCAAGAACTTGGTTTTTTCCTGGAGACAGGACTTCAAAGAGCACATGTGTTATACTTCAAGAATGGGTAAGATTTGATTCTCCTTTTTTGTGTTTACTTTTTAGTTTATTTAAGTTTTATATTTGTGATCTAACTGGGCTTCATAATTTTTAGCAATTGTGCATTCTGTAATCTCGAGGCCTCCTATTAATAAAGTAATAATATTTTGATTGAAATAGTAAGGCTTCCAATATTGTATTTACATATTGCAAAATTGTTTAATCAACGTATAGTAAACAGAAAGCACTTTATATTTTTACTTGTTAGAACTTAAAATACCTTAAACTTTAACTATTTAAAATTTCTTTTACTTTATAATAGGCACTATTAGAAAGTGACTGACAACATACTGAAACTCTTGATTTTTATAATTTTGGTTTTGTAATTTTTTTCCAAATCTCTTCAGTTGTCACTTATTTTAACATTATGCTGCAGGATAAATGTGCATGAAGATCAACAGTATGTATACAAGTATACAATCTCCATTGTACCTGCCCTGTAGATCCTTTTAGATTCTGCATGGGAGATCCTTTATAATTTATTTTAAAGAAGGCTTCCCTTGAAAGCTTAGAAATAAATTCAAATGTCACAGAAAATGATAAAAGGAATACAACTCACCATTATGAAAAGCTTTGGAACTTGGCACAAATGGTTTTTAAGTACATTTCTGACATTTGTTGCTGAAGTCTTGTGGTTTAAAAGTTTGTTTGCAGGGCTTCTTATTTCACTCATTTTCTCATTTCAAGGAAAATGTGGTTTGATTGAAATATTTGAACTCTTGATAGGACTACTCTTTTGTACCAAAAACTTCGTATTCTTTCAAATACATAAGCAGGAGTTGAAGGGAAATCATGCAGTGTCTGTAAAGAGTTGGAGATTTTAATGTGCTGATGGTAGGCTGACAAAAAGCTATCCCAAGTTTTCAAACTGTTCAGGGATTTCAGCATGGAAATTATCACTAAGCTTTTTAAAAAGCTTTTGAAATCTCGATCTTAAAGAAGTAGTGTTGCAGTAATACATTATCTGGAAGTTACATTTTAGTTCTGTTTTCATCATTTAGTTGCAGGAGGATTCAATGTTCTGAAAGTTAATTGTCACTTAACACAGCTATAAATAAATTGTCTGTTTTAATACCTGCATAAAAGAGAAGTAAAATATACTTATTGAAAGAATCCCAGTGGCAATTGTGGTTAAGAATAAGCTAAAAATTCCACATTTTGGAGCGTGTTGGTTGAAAGCCATCAGTGGAAATGTTCCATTTAATCTTACATGTTTTGCATAAAAGCAATCGGTAGTAGACAAATAGACATGGTGGATTAAGATTAATTAAGAAAACGAAAAGCAAACGCACAATAAAGTCATGCAGCAGGTTATTCAGGAACATCCAGGCCTTAGGAGTGTTTTCTGTAGACCGTGTCCCTTGGTCTGGTGTGAGCTTTGAAAGGTTGCTTGTATTCCATGTACACTTTGGGCCTTCACAGTGAAGCTTCTGGTGTTCTTGTTAAACTCCTACATACGTTTTATCTTTTTTTTCTGCAGTCTTTTTTACAATGGTGACTTGTAGTTTACCAGCTAATTACACTTATATTTAATTTTCAATTTCTTCTTCCAGTTTCATTGGCCAGTGCTACTTTTTTTTTTTGTGGTGTGAGAGGAAGCGGGATGTTAGGAAAAATAGCTCTGTGCCAATCATTATTTTACATATTCCTGCCATTATATCCTTCAGTTTCCGTTCTTAATTTAGAGCCAGTCCCAGTTCTTTCAAGATTTCCTAATATGGCAATTGTCCTAGCCTGATCATCATGTTGCTGCTTTTATGAGCTCCTTTTTTTTTTAATTTAAGTTTTTAACTTGAGTTTACCAGAACTGACCAGAACTTTAAGTGTATACTTTTATTATAAAGACAAACTTATAGTGTATATTTTAGTACATTTTAGGGATGCTTTGCTTGTTTTTTAAATTTATCATCTTTCATGATGTTAGGTTCATAGAAATTAAAGATCTGTCCATTAAACTTTGCGACATACATCATTTAAATATAATCTAAAATTGTAAAGATTATATGAACATTTTCAAGGAGAGGAAATGTAGCTATTTTTAATACAGGCAGTTTAGAAATGTAAGCATTTCTTTTAAATAAACGTTTTGCAACTGCAGTTATAGATGTTCAACAGGCTTCAATCCTGGGAAGAAGGCAGGGAATCACCAGAGTGTGCTTGTGAGTGATGCGGGAGAAGAGGAGAAGTGTGCCTCTGTTTTTACAGGCAGACTAAATCTGCTATTCATATTGCAATGCAGTGGAATCTCTTATTTGTCTGTGTTCATGAAGTGAGGATGATACTCAGAAGAGTTGAATCTGAAATAAAAGTTCCTCTCACCAAATGATAACCTGGCATCGGTTTGAGTAATTTCAAATATTATACTGTTACCAGCGTAGTGCCTAGAGAGCGTGCTTAAAGATTTGAGCGGATGTTTATGGGGGTATCATATGGTTTTTAGACTTCAGTTCCACTCCAGTAAGTATTAATAAACATCTCTCAAAATCTGCTGGGGAATTAAATTTGTCTAGAGTCCTCTTGCTATAGTGTGGGTTTTTGTTATTGCATGTCTAGGGGTCAGTTGACTAATCACTGCTTTTAATTGCTCTTCTTCCCCTAGAAATGGAAGCATCATATTTGTGCATGTATGGAAGTTAGAAGCTAGAGAAGAAAATCAGATAACTTTTATACTATCTGGAAGAGCATAATTTTAGCAATGATGTAGGGACTATTGCTGCCTACCCAGAAGGCTGGTTTGGTCCACTCTAAATTTCCCCTTTGTTCATTAACTGTACAGAGATTTTATTTTAAATCGAGAGTCAATTTTTTGTAGAGGATTAAGCGACTGTCCTTCAGGTATGCATTATCTTCTATGAAAAACTAGAAAGTGTTTAAAATATGAGAGTCTAACTGCTAAGTGATGACATTTTGAAAATACATGGAAAAGCAATTATCTAAACTTAAAAAAAAAGTTCTGAATAGAAGAATGTTATTTTAGTGCTCTGTTAAGAGACAAAGCTGGAATTAAAGTTTTCTTCCAAAGCGTATAAAATTTTAGTAATGAATCACACTACATACGAAGTTTTCACTTGGGAGTAGAGGAGCATTTCAGCTTGTAAATGAGTAACAAAGAAGTGGAGGAAGCTGTTCTAAAACTTTAAAGCAGAGTTTATATGCTTTTAAAAACGCATTCTGAACTATGTCACTTTAATTGACTTTCAGGATGATTACACAACTTCTATTTAGTCTAGTAGTTGCTTTGTAATTTCAGATTGAAGGAGTTCAAAGTCCTGATGTTGTTCCAAGAAAACCTATGAGCACAGGAACCAAAGTTCCTGACGAAACATTAATACTTCAACATAACTGTTTTCAAGTAAGATGCCCCTGAGAGAGAAAGGACAGCAGTTTATGAACCCAGTAATTTTTCTAACCTAGTATTTGCTTTGTATTCATGTTATGAGATAAACTATGTCAAATTTGTTTTTCCGCTTTTGGTTCCTTCCGTTGCACCTTGTAAGAGAGATTCATAGGATCACAGAGGTTGAAAGGGACTCGGAGGGGCCGTGTGTGCCGAAGCTCTGCTCCAAACGTGGCTGTCATGTTCAGCAGCTTGCTCAGGGCCTTGGCCAGTTGTTCTGAGTGTCACCAAAGATAGAGTTCAAATTCTGATGAAGTTTGGGGCTTGGGTGTTTTGTTGAACAATATTAATGACATATATCATCATCTGAATGTGAGCTGCAGTAACCTACAACTAAGTCTTTTGAGTTTCTTTCTGTTAATACTAATTTTTCTCCAAAAGGCAGCTAGTTGTTGTACCTGGATGAGTTGTTTTCACCAAAAGAAAGATTTTGCTCTATGAATGTAGTGTTTGGCCATTTCTGTTAAAGCTTTAGTAATAGTTTAACATGGAACTTTTCATTATTTTGAATTACTGGTTACTAATTACATGGGCTTCTTTTTTTCATATTGATATAATATTTTTGAACTGACTAAAACTGATGGAAGCTGCCAGTTTTAACTGCAAAAATGTTAATTGATCATGTTAAGTTCAAAATGAGGAAATTAGCAGGTAGGAGAACTACTTGGTGCTAGATTTCTTTATGATAGTAGTAGAAAGTGATTTGCTAAGCATGAAGGTAAGTTTGCTGAAGAAAGCGTGCGTGGCTTTCAGTCATAGTAGGAATAAAAGGAACTGCCTCTTGGAAGAACTAGGAAACTATTCTGTACAGACCTTTGAAAAAATAACACAAAAAACTAGTACTAAAGGACGATTCATCTTTATTTTTTAAATAGTAGTATGTATTCATAAGCTATTTTCGCCAAGAGCTACCAAATTAGTTTGACTTGTCAACACTGTCCTTTTTAAGCTGTGGACAGTGCTGCAGCAATCAAATTGTACTGGTGTGTTTATATATTAAAAAATCAGTAAACGGAAGACTGGTACAGTACTAAGAAAAGCTGAATACTGTGCAACTGTTTGAGGCTGTGTCTGTTTTCATTTGTTACTGAGATGAAAGGTGTTTGAAAACTCATGAATTCTTTCCAAGTCAAATTATCATTATTACTTCAAATGATTTCATTGTCATTGGCCAAACCATTTACAAAGTTGTTTCTAATGTTTTAAGATAGAAGCAGTATTAGTCTGATCATGCTGAGTATTCACTGCTTTGATTACCTTGGAGACATAATACGTTACAGAAATGCTAGCTACCAGTTGAAGCTTGAAAGTCAGGCAGACTATACTTTTATGTTTTCAGGTGAATGCTGGCAAATTCCCCTTCCCACCTCCTTGTTTCTTACGTTCTTTTAAAATATGTAACTGCCAAGATAATGTGTTCTACAGCCAGTTTACTGAGGAGTGCTTGTAAACATTTTTTTTTTTTATATATGTGCGGGCATTTTGATGTTTGTACTGAAATAATTTTGTTTGATACACCTCCTAGACCTGACCTTTTTTGCCTCCCAGATTCTCCTTCTAGTGCTGGGCCG